CCTCACTAGTAGCCAAGAACCATTGGAGCACTCACACTAATGATATTCTGGAAGTTGGTAAAAAATTAGCTTTTTCTAAGATCACTTGGAGCTTGGGCAGCTTGGGTTTGTCTTTCTTTGTTTTAGTATTTAATTTCATTGACTGCCCAGTTGTAGTGGACTCTATTTAGTGATTTGTTGGTGATTATTTATTACTGGATTTTATATGTTTTTTAATGTTGGTAATTTCAGCAGTATCAACAACTAATAAGTAAACATCTCACTTGGGGAAAATGTCAAGTTAGGTCAACAGCAATCTCATTGTTACATGGCCTTAATGAAAGATTGGCCCTCAGAATGCTACTCTAAAAGGGCACAAGGGATTTGGAACAGTGGTGGGTTCCAGGAGGTACAACCTGGTATGGGCATACTGGTAGTAGCTGGGAGCAGCGGCCACTTTACTGGAACAGTGACTCGTTTGGCCCGCCCACCCGTCCCCGTTCCTTACCGCTTTTTGATGCAAATGGGCCAATTGCGCACACGCGTACAGCGTGTGGTGCCTGCGTGACCTCTGCCAAGCAGCTGAGTGTCACTGGGCGGTGGCGTGTGCCTGCGTGTGCAGTGTGCATGCCCAACAAGGACGCGACGGCATCCGGAACATACTTCTAGTTTGGAACATTCACTCACCAAGCCATGGGGCCCAGAAGCCTCTTAAAACCTAGTAGTACCATTCTTTAAATGAACTCCGTTAACACTAATTCAGTGGTGGACAATCTGTTTCAGATGTTAAAGGTTTTTCAGTTTCAATTGCTTATCTCATTAAGAATGTGGAGATCTGTCAGTCAGAATTGACAGTATTGGGTTGACGGGCTAATAGTCTGAACTGGTTAAAAGCAACTTCCTATGCTCTTACAATTTTCCAGTCATAAATCAACTCATAAAGCATACAGTGCATTTATCAAGGCTTTATATCAGCCATGGCACTTAAGAGTTTCTTCCTGTTCTGCTTTCCTAAAGCAAACTCAAGAAGGTTACATCAGTAGATTTATTATACAGAATTAAGAAATCATACATACAAGTTTTCTTCTAACAACATATACTAATCTTACCCTCCATATTAGCCCCAAAGTTTCAATCCCTCCTGCCATTTTAAAACTGTAGCTTTCAGGCTACACATTTCCTGGACTGAAGGTTATTGCCACAGCGCCTTATTTACAAAATGGCTTTCTCTGATGTGCATTGAGAATTGGAGGGTCCTGCCTCACCAGCTTCAATCCCCTTGAACTTAATTGAGTCTCATTAAATGTTAAATAGTTCCAAAGGAAAGGGCCAAAAGATGCTGCTATTCTCCCCTCCCTCCCCCCCAAAAAACCCTTTCCATTGCTGGCTCTTCTATGAGCATTTCATTTGAATACTAACAGCTAGCTATGCCACACTAGAAGTAACAATAGCCTTGCTTCAGTCAGTGTGTGTGTGTGCGCGCGCACGCACACCTGCCTGTGCTACAGGTATTGTACATTCCTCAGAGTTCATACCAAAATGAGGTGGTAGTTGAAAAGGGCCTTGTTAACCACTTTTCATGAAAGGATTGTTTGTTTCCTTTCAGTGAACTTGCAACAGCCTGTCTTCCTGGCTGACCTATCTTAACTGCTCTGATCTGATGGGAAATGCTGATTCCCAAAGGCATCATATGCAAAGCAGATATAAAATACACCTACTCTACGAAGATCAGTGTTGCAAAAGCCATTGGTTAATCATAGAGTTGGTTTAATCCCCTTTCCCATAGCTCTGACCATTTTCAAGCTGTCTCAGGTGGAAGCCGCCTACTAGTTTGTTGAAGGTATTGGTACGTTTTAAAATACATTAACTCTCACACAAACCTTTATGAGTATAAATGACATATATATTTGCAGCATTCTTGATAAAATCTGATCTTTGACATCTACTGTCACCCTCAGCCACTAGAACTCTGCCACCTAACACAGAGTATTAAATATGCCTTTGTGTAAATGGTCATTGTGAAAAGGATTGCCAACATTTAAAGTAAAAGGTGAAGAATAAGTCTGTGAGGTCCCTGGAGGTCATCCATACAAGCCCTGACATATACAATTGTTTCCGTTGAACTCTAATCTGGTCTACAATCTGTCTCCCTGCTTCAGATCTGTCAGAAGGGTCTAATACTGGAGAAAAGCCAAGTTGCTTGGCTGCAGTATTGTGGAAGGAGAACATGAGTGAGGAAATTCATATTCAAGTTTCCATGATTGGGCATCTGGAAGCTTTTTCTATGAGCCAGGAGTACATATATGATATGAAAACTGAAATGAGAGGAAAAATTGTGCCCATTTGACTTGCCAGGGTGTGAGAGATTGTTTTTTTTCTGCAGAACTTCCAAATTCCACAGGTTTCTATAGATAACTGTATAGGGTAGACCTGTGCTTCGTGCCTCGATAACTGCAAGCATTTTTTTGTTTTAGATTTTTTTTTCATATACAACTCAAAGCAGTGAACATACCAATACTCCTTCCTCCTATTTCCCCCATAATATCCTGTGAGATTTGCTGGTCTGAGAAAGTGACTGTCCCAGCTGGTTTTTCATGCGCAAGGCAGCACTAGAACTCAGTTTCCTGGTTTCTAGACCAACATTTTAACTATTGCACAAAACTAGTTCACTAATGTATTATATAATTATATCAACAGTATCATAGTTCCACATCTTATAGAAGCAGCTTAGGCCTGAAAGTTGCAATTCAATTAGATCTGCAGTTCATTTTTAATTATTTTAATAGATTAAAATAGAAATAAGCAAAGCTTATTATAAGCAAATAAGCAAAGAAATGTTCTGCATCCTTTACATTTCTATGTAGTTATGAACTGTAGTTTTCAGGATCCATTTGAATTCCTTTAGTAGATATTCTATGTTCAAAAGTGTTGAATTGGGGAAGATCAAATGCAGAGTGCAATATTTGACTCAGATATTGAACTCCACAGTAAAACCATAAAATGATCTCTCTTCTTTCTACTTACATTCAGACAATGAATGTAATCTACAATGACCTTGTCCTTGGATTTCCACCTGTCCCGGCACCCAGATCACAATCTGAGTGATTGGCAACCCGTTCACACTTATGACTGGTTTTCAAGCATTCCATGATCATGTGTTTGCCATTTGCAATCTTCCCTGCTAGCTTCCCCAGAAAGTCATTTGGGAAGTGGGCAAGGAAGGTCATAAGTCACTTAGGTATGTCTCCCCCATTCTTGGCGCTCGTGCCATGCCATTGCACATCCTCAGGCACCCTCCATGACACTCCCCATGCCTTCTTTACACATCCTCCCCAACATGCGCTGCACCTTCATGCGCACCAACCCCCACAGCACTTCTTGTGCACATCCTCACGCCCTCTCCAGTGTGCATTGCCTCTGGCACACACCTTTATGCATCCTCCTCAATCCATGCGATACTTCTCATGCAGTCCCTTGCCTCCCCAACATCTGCAGTGCCTCTCATGCAGTCCCTTTCACCCTTGTGCACCCTATCTTACCCTCACTGATACACTGATGCTGCACCTCTGGTGCATCCTCCATAGCGTAGCCCCGCTGCACCTCTAATGAGCCCTCACCAACACTCTGCCGTCTGGATTCACCTGCCTACAGACCTGAAACTTGTAATACATTTAGATCTGCAGTTCATTTTTAATGATTTTAATAGTGTAAAAGCATTGACTTATTCGCTGGCAACTAGGACTGCAGGAATTGCCATCAGTGAGCAATGCAATTGTGCTTCATGACCATATTGCTTAGCAACAGAAATTCTGGTCCCAATTGCCCTTGTAAATTGTGGACTATCTGTATAGGCCAGATCAGGAAACAGACTCCACAGAATGACTGGTACTTTATTTTTACAGGTTAGAATTACCAAATCTTGAAAGCCTTGACAGCATCTTTCCTCCCTCCCTTCTCTTACTCAGGCAGAACTGATCTGAATTTCCTTCTAATATTTTCTTCCTGTCCTGGATTTAAATCATGTTTTTTCAACTGCAGTCACATAGTTTTTCCAAGATTATATCTGTGATTCTCTACAATTTCTGAAGGAAGAATGATACCTAAAACTTCCTGGTCCAATTGGCTGTGCTTGGGTTTATTATTATATTTTAAATATATACAGAGTGTACCAAGGTCCCATAGACCAATCACAATATTTTATTTATTAATATTGTTAGTGCACTAAGAATGTTCAAATGTGATTCATCAAAGCAGTATGCTAGAATAAAGTGGCAAGCAACTCAAATATTTAATGTAATATAGTATATATAATAATTTAATTTCTTTTGGGCCTGGCTTTTAGCATAACCTGTATATATTTAAGCTATTGAATCAGATGATCCAACTACTTTTATAAGTACTTTTTTATTTTCATTCTAATTAATGGATTTGTTGTTTAAACTTATCACTGGTATCCACAAGGAGGCAAATGATAATGTGTGTGATGACATTATACAAATGCTAGGACTTATGTACTTGCATTAGAAATTTGGATGCAAATAAATGTATTGTATGATGATGTCATTGTATATCTGTCATCAGTTTGGCATCAGTTTGCTGTAGATTCTCCTGAAAAAAAATGTTGCATTTGGGAAATGATATATTAAGCATTTTTCTTGTATGTAAAATATTTGGAATAAATATTGTTACGAGATAAAATTGATATGACTTGTTTTAGATATAATTTTGACTAATTTTTGTCACTTTGCTTGGATAGAGTTTTCAGTTAGATTTGTATACACAACCATTGCACTATGTGTGAGCAAGGACATGAGCAACAATGTTTTGTTGGAAGGACTAACAGAATTGAAGCTTTCATGAACCACAGGCACAAAATATCTTTCTCAAATGGAAGTATTATAGAAAATGCTGAAAGAAGCAGAGTAAAATTGAGGAGTATTTAAAGTACAGAAAGCAAGAACTGGGATAAATTGAAAACACCTATAAACTGTTTGGACTGTTTTTTCCATCTCTTTTCTCAGATGACAGAATCTGTTCTCCGCCATTTATGGAATTAACAAATGCATGTGGAGAAGACACCTTGAAGCAAATAGAAAAAAATGGAATTGCATTCCCATTCAGTATGTGAACAGTTTTTATATTTTACTTAATAGTAAAGTTGTAAAGCATTTCCTCCACTACCGCAATTTAGCTAAGTACCCTTGGGTGAGGGAGAGGACTTGCACAGGAAATAGTTTGTGGCTGGAGTATAAAATTATATGCTTTCATTCTATTAAAATTATTAAAAATAATCTGTGGATCTAACTATACCCTGTTTTAGTTCTTTTATCTTTGAATATACAGTATTTTCTCATAGTGACAATGAAAGATATCTTATTCATATGTTAAGAGTCTTGCAAGATTAAGTCAGTGTTTCATCTGATCCATTATCCATCATACCTAGAGGCCAAGCAAACACTTTCCTCAATCTTTAAACAGAAGATGAGGACAATACAGTTTTCTGTAACAATCAGAATTCAAACACTAATGTTTTCTTCTGTGAGTTTGTTTGATCTGTCTTTAAAAATATGTAAAGGCTATGTGTGCATATCGTGCATAAAGTCTTTCTGTAATATAGTATATTATTTTCTCTTCTTTATTTTCTCTGTCTCTGCTATTTTGCAGGTGAATTATCAGAGTTATTTTGGAAGTGTCTGCCTTTATTTCAATATGTATAATGTTGGTTTTGGTTTACTAGAAAAAGGCCCTAATGCCCATTTAAAACTACAGAGAAATGTTTTGGCACATCTTGAATTATTTTTTGCATTTTTAACTATGCTATACTAACATGAATCTTAGATGTACTATTATCTTATGGTTATATTACTTAGTTGTTTTTATGTATACCAAGAGCTTATGCACCGGAGACAAATTCCTTGTGTGTCCAATCACACTTGGCCAATAAACTATTCTATCCTATTCCTATCCCTATCCAATCCTATTATAGTATATCTATTATAGCCGTGATGATGAACCTATGGCACGTGTGCCACAGGTGGCACACGGAACATTTGTCAGGGCACGCAAGGCGTTGCCCTGTCAACACATGCATGCTGAACAGCTGACTTTGGCATTCTTTTGAGGCTGTTTTTCGCCCTTCCCTGAAGCCTCCAAAGCGCAAAAAAACGGCCCTATGGGCAAACCAGAAATTCAAGAACGGACTTCTAGTTTGCTCGTAGGACCAGTTTTTGTCCTCCTGAGCCTTCAGGAGACCCTCCTGAAGTCCCCGGAAGGCTTCAGAGATCAAAAATCAGCCCTACGGGGAACCCAGAAATCACTTCCAGTTTGCTCGTAGGGCCAGTTTTTGCCCTCCAGAGCCTTCAGGGAAGCTGAAAACGCCAGATAAAAGAATGCTTATTTCAAGGGAAGGGCAGCAATAGTGCTAATATCATTCAGTTGGGTGGATTCACTAAATCAATAGTTAGTTAGAAATGGTACTGAAGTGCTCTGTGTATATTCTTTTGTACTGACTCACAATTTATTTATTTTTTATTATTGAAGTTTGTAAGACAAGAGTCGCCCATGGGACCAACTCTCATGAGGTAAGTATTTGCACAGGGTTTCATATACTATGTACTTAGAAAAACTGCTTTGGCTGAGAATTAAGAGAACTAGTCCATCTATGAGTTTGATTCATAAACTTCAAGGAAAAGTAAGGAGGTTTTATTCTTGTTGTCTCTCATGAATACATAAAAGTCATTCTTCATAGTCTTATGGCTTCATTAATATTGCAAATCTGTTTTTCTCTCATTTTGAAGGCCAGGTTATACATACTTATACACATCTGTCCATCATTTGTTTATTTATTTGCAATTTTATAACCCATCCTAATGTACAGGTTTGAGGCAGCATTTGTCAAAATAGAACATAAAAGAGAAAGACATAGACTGAATAAATACTCTTAAGATGATTGCCATTAAATAACAATGACTTGGGTAAGAAAAAAGTGGAATAGGATATTGACAGCTTTACAAAATGCCGAGGGGAGAGGGTTACAAAAGCCCATGAAGAGAAGGCATTTGAAAATATGGGAACTATAACAGAAAAGTCCTGTCACTTAGTCTTCTTAAAACAGGTGGAGGGGCGGGGGGGGAGGTAGTCTCAAGGACCTTCTCACAATGTTTCTACTTCATGAATGGGTTTAAGCCTAGCAAAGAAATGCCTTCTGTAACATAATGCAACACTACATAGGACTTTATAGTTTATGATCAGCACTTTGAGTTGAGACCAAAAGCCTACTGGCAACTAGTGGGAAGACTTTGACAATGGTGCCAACCTGCAATGATGAGTTACCCCGTCATTGGTTCAGCTGTCACTTATGAACTGGCTGCAACTTCTGGGTCATCTTCAAAGGTATCTCATCTCAATTTGGTAGATGATCTCAGTAGTTTCACAGACATGTTAAATAACATATTTAGCACCAAACCCTGTGAGATTTGCATTGGAGAAACCATAGAATTGTCATCTTCCTTGCCCCAGTGATCCAAACTGGATACAGATAGTCCTCGACTTACAACCGTTTGAAGTTACAACAGCACTGAAAAAAGTTACTTATGACCATCTTTCACACATGACCATTGCAGCATCCCCACAATTATGTAATTTACATTTGATGTTTGACAACTGACTCATATTTATGACAATTACAATGTGACGGAATCATGTGATCCTCTTTTGCAACCTTCGGAAAATCTAAGTCAATGGGGAAGCCAGATTCACTTAACAACTATGTTACTAATTTAGCAACTACAGGGATTAACTTAACAACTGTGGCAAAACTCACTTAAACAGATGCCTCATTTACAACATAAATTCTGGGCTCAATTGTGGTTGTAAGTCAAGGACTAACCTGTATTCTCACTGAGAGCACCGAAGTGGAGTACATCCAACTGTAGGTGACCCTACAGATACCAATATTTCTGTACCAATGAACAATGTTTCTAAATGCTGCTAAAAGATCTCGCAAGAACAAGAGAAATATCCTGACCTAATAAAGGATCTATGAAGGTCAGGTAGAATGACTGTTACCATTTTCATCCCATTACATAATTGCTTTACTCTGTATTTTATTGTATATTTTATTGTAAACCATTTTGAAATGATTTGGCATAACGAAGCAGTAGATAAGCATAATTAAATTTGGGGGAAAGTCTAAATAAGAAATCAGATGTAAATTGGAAAGACAGATTGCCAAGTTTTTCCAACTGGATAGCACAGTTCTGCATCTTCTCTCCCCCACCCCAGTTTATTTGAATACTTGGCTTTTATGCAACTGGACCAAGCCAGTATCTCAAACACTTCAACATTATGTGTTTTACAATGATTAATCAACTGCATTCAAGAAGCTCACAACAAAAAGAAAGGAAGGCAATAATGATCTTCCATTCCTGCTCCCTCTTAGCTTGTATTTAAGTTTTGCTATCTCAAATCAAGAATAATAAACACTAATAACCCAATCTTCCATCAATTTGTCCAATCCCTTTTAAAACCATCTGAATGGATACTAATGCCACCGACAGCAGCAGCTATACGTATGCATGCATGCTATGCATACTGCTATTGGAACCACCAAATCCAATGCTTGTTTATGTGAAACATGTATTTTTCATCTGTACGACTGTAATTGCAAGTCATATCTTTATTTTTCAGATGGCTATCATATTCAACCGGGACGGCCTGAAAGCCATCCAACCTCCATGTGTGATTCAAAGTTTCATCAACCACAATGCTGTCCTGTACAAAGTCTTTGTGGTTGGGGAGTCATATACGGTGGTGAAGAGGCCCTCCGTGAAGAACTTCTCAGCAGGCACTTCTGGTAAGCTTTGGGAGTAGTAATTTAACATGATCTACTAGTGGGAAAATCTGAAGAACACCATTTTCCATTTTGGTGAATCCTAATACAAAACATGTAGAGGACATCAAGTTGAAGAAGACTGAACCCAGTGTTTCCCTGACTGTTTGGATTTTTTTGATATTTTTTTAAAATTTCTCCCTTATCCTCCCAAACCCTTGTAGCACTAATTTCTTTGGGAGATAGCAACTGTTTTTGCCAACAGCTGCCATGTACATTCAGATTTATGTACCAAAGTACTAATCTAAAACTGGAGAAAAAGGGGAGGACATCACAGACGTCTTCCTAAAACAAGCAAGTCAAGATGGAAGCAGAAGAGATTGTTATGACTAGGAACTCCTACATGTTTTTAATTCTGTCTAGCTTCCATGGAGGTTTTGAGATTATGGCATCATAAATCTTTTGCTAGATGCAGTTGGTTTCAAGTTTTATTTGGTATTTGACCCTGACCATCTCCACTAAACTCTTTCTCTTTAAGAAATTTGGAAAACTCTTCCCTGCATGTTATGTACATTCTACCTGAACTTTATTGTTAAGAGCCCAGAGTCACATTTTTTGAAAAGGGCAGTTATATAAATGATTGGTTGATTAATTGATTGATTGACCATATTATGAACTTTTGTGAAGGCTTTGATATTTTATTCACCTGCTATTTGCTTGAAATAATACTAATAAAATTCTTACATTAGTTTATAATATCTAGATGGTCTGATTATGATATATCATTCAAGAAAAAATGCACTGAGTTAAAATGTACTGAGATTTCATTTATTTATTTTCTTTACTTCCTATGAACAAAACATTTTTGGAAACTGTTAATAGGTCTGGTTTTTAGTTAACTATTTATATTGAATCACTGTGTTGATTTATAAATATTTTATCCAAAGTCGTATGCAAAATAATAAGGTGAAATATTTTTAAAAAGATATTTGCCAAAGTCACAAACTCTAAAAATCAATACACATGATAACAAACCATAATATAAAAATGATTAAAATTGATATGAAAAGTTTAATTTGGGTTCAGTTCAATTCCTAGTGTACATGCTATTAAGGTATGTCACTGGATTCTTTAGGGTTTTTTTTTAAATGTTATCATATATGCTACAGCTGTGGTCATTCCTAGTAGTCTCTTGTTCAAACAATTAATAAAATTATTCCCACATTCCTTCAGTACCTTCAAAAAGTTCCATTCAAAATAGATATGATTCTAGATTTTAGCAACATGAATATTTATTTTAGATATTTTTTTCTTTATACAATGCATAGTCAATTTTTTGACTTCTGCTTTCTATATTGTAGCAATACCCATTAATATCAGTGACTTTTAAAGAATCTTACCCAAATTCAGAAATAACAAGGCTGTCAGGTGCCCTGAATTGGGATGTTTTGTATTTCCTATAATTTTGGGAATAATTCCAGAAAATATAATTTAATAAGATTGATAATTTTTTACGTATATGCTGACAATAGCAACAATGACAATACAAGATTGGGGCAGCAATAACAAAACTGACAATATATATTCACAATAAAAATTTAATCAAATTTAAGCAGGAAAGGCTCCCTTATATACAGTGCATTTCCCAGCAAGGCATATTCAGACATTTAGAATATGGGTTTTAGAAAAAGAGTCTAATTTAAAACAAACAAAATTACAAACAGACATAAGCAAAAATCTCAAATGTTTAATATTAAGTAATAAAACCATAGCATAAATATTGAAATTGTGTATAATGATTGGGAAAGAGAATGGAATGGAAGAGTGATTATGCTACCAAAATTACCTTTTACGATGTTGTTACTTATGATCTACTTTTCCTCTTGCCTTTTGTATCTTTATGCTTTGCTTTTTTGTATTCTTTTAGCTTATGCAATGTAATAGAAAACATTGGAAGTAGTTTCATATTGTTAATCAACAAATATCTATTTAGGGTGTTAAAGCCTATAACCTTTGTTAAAGCCTATAACCTTATCCAAGTTTTCAGTTTAGATACATATTCTAGCATAAGTTTTAGTGCCAATGTACACTTTGCTTTAGCCAAAAATTGCATCTTTATTTTTTAATGTTTCATTTGACACCTGAAATGAAAACTTGGGACCATGAATTCAATGGATAGAAAATGATTCATCTTCTGCTTATTTCTAACGAATCAATGAATACGTCTTCATTCTTTTGGGAGTACTTCAGATATGACTAATTATTTACATTGGCAAATAGGCTGCAGTATCAGAAACTCTTGATTTCTTGATTTGCCTATGTGATTGATCTACCACTTGAAATCTAACAGACTCTAGATGGCTTACAGGATCTCTTGTATAAACCCCGTGCAAAATTAATATTAAAATCAATTATATAATAAAACTCATAATCTAATTCTCAAAATTAGGGTTCTTACATAATAACTACAAATTAATTTGACAATTGGTTTGGCGTCACTGACTATAATCCCTCGAGGTCTTCTGGAAGAGCTGTGTGGTCATCTGCTTCTGGAAAACCATAAGGATGGGTACACCCTTGTTTCAAGGAGCAATCAATTCCAAAGGAGGTGTTCTGCAGAGAACATCTCTTGTCAGGTCACCTCCCACTGTATTTCATGGTACACAGGGATCCTTAGGTGCTCCCTAGTTCAGATGGAACAGTCTAAAATCATGGGGGGGAATGGTCTCTACAGTATGACCCAGAGGATACAGCTTTACAGTGACTGGCCCTTTGAGTTGCACTCACAAACCACCTAGTAACCAGTGCAGAGCTGTCATATGCCAATATTGTAACTGGCCTCTGGTATATGTGTTGTAATACATACATTCTTGATCATCCAAAATTTCTGGGTGGTTTCCCTATGTAGAATGAATTACAGTAACCTAATTTAGAAATGACTGGGACATGAGTGCACAGCGAAGCAAACCCCCCATCAAGTCAAAGATGGAGAAGTTGGCTTCTGGAGCAACAGCCACTCCATCTGGTTTGGGTTAAGTCTGAGCCTGTTTTTCCCCATCCAGACCCTGACAGCCTCCAGACACCGAGTCATTTCTTCCACCGCATCTCCCAATGGGCTTGGAGTGGAGATATATACCAGGAGAATAGGACAAATTGTAAGTCACAGACCAAGAGATGGAAGTCAAAGAGGGGAGTGTTAATCAGAGTTCTAGGCAAATATATTGGCAAAGTGGCAGCAGAAAGATAGCTTTACCAAAATTAGCCCAAACAGTAGGCTGCTGAATTATCTTACAGACATCCCTGACCAAGTAGATGAACAAGATGTTCTTCGCTGATCACAAACAACCTGTCTACACTGACTGGGCATAAGCAGCACAAACTCTTAAAAGGCAATGCTTCTTCTTATTTCATTGTTGAATTATTATTATTATTATTATTTTGAAGCAAGCAAGCATCGACACAGGTATCTTTTCCCTTCTCCAGCAATTCCTGCCGTTTCCTCCATTTTTTAAATTTGTTATTCTTTCAAATAAATAAATAGAAAACCCGATAAAAGCTCTGCTCCTTTATACAACAAAACTCATTTCCTTGTCAATTATTGAAGCCAGGACATTGCGTTATGGCAATTGATTATAGAGCTCAGTACAAATAGGAATGGTTTAAATATCAAGGATTTTATTTGTTGAAAATATGGATAAAATTGCTGGATTATAGCGCCCTCTAGTGCTTGTAGATTCAAATATTTTTAAGACTTAAAGTAGTGATTTTGAATGTAACTTTTAAGAACAATTTTTGGGTACTTGCATGTAATTTTTTTTAGTTCTATAGATTTGTTTGTAACTTATATATTTTTTTTCTTTAATTTCCAATCTACAGATAGAGAGTCAATATTTTTCAACAGCCACAATGTATCAAAACCAGAATCCTCTTCCATCTTAACAGCAGTAAGTATTCCAGACTTCTTTCTCCAAACACTGATTCTACCAATAGACTCCTCTCAATTTAACTCTGTTCTTCTCAAGTTTATTTTTAGGAATTATTGCAGGAAAACGGAAGCTCAGAATCATCCAAAATCTTTCACAAACATACAGTATCTGAAAATGTCTTTCTTTCCTTGAAACATAGGAATTATAATACTTGGTTAAGAACCATTCATTCAGCAACCAATCAAAATTACAGTCTCTAGGTGAATGGCCCTTATGCCCGGTCCCCAAAGTTGGATCTCTTGCAGCTCACCTGCACTTATGGCCGCAGGGAGGCCTTCAGCTCTCCCACCCACCCACCCACTTCTCTGCCCCTCTGCATCACTGTCCTTTTGGCTGCCCTGCAGTCCACTGCCTCTGTTAGCCCTGCCACTTTAAAGCTGACATTTTGTCCCCAGAGTTATGGGATTTTGTCCTTCTGGCAAGATTTCAGACATTTTAAAATATTGATCTGTGATACCTGCAGATGTTGTGTTTCATGTCTGGAGGAAATGCAAGGATACCTGTTTTTTTCTTTAGTATCCCTCTACAATTTCATTCTGTCTTTCTTTTGCAGCTTGATAAAATAGAAGGGGTGTTTGAAAGACCAAATGACGACGTTATCCGATCAATCTCGAAGACACTAAGGCAGACTTTGGGAATTTCTCTCTTTGGCATTGACATTATAATTAATAATCAGACTGGTCAGCATGCAGTCATTGATATCAATGCATTTCCAGGTGAGAGCAAACTGTTATATACAATACACCAAAATACAAATATCATACTTCCAAGTTAACATTCATTTCAAGCAAGAGTCGAGAATTTTTGTTCAGACAAAGCACCAGAGTTGTCCTTTCAATGGTATACCAAGAATTCAACTTCGAAAAATCAGTAAGGTCAAGACAAAGTGGCTGAGCCCAGGATAAAAAAATAAATATATAAATTTTATGTAAATTAGATTAAATCAAATCAGATTAAATACAAATAATAGAATTCCTTCCACTTCTATCATAATAAAAAAGTATTTTTGAGATACCCTGAGGATTCCAAACTCTGGCTTCTCCCTTTAAAATTTTTAAAATATGCTCATTCTAAAGGCTTAGATGAAGAAAATGGCAGAGCCATGTTTTTGGATCTAGATTCAGAATCAAAACATCAGTCAGAATTTTATTCTTGCCTCAGCAAGTTCAAGAGCAGACAGGTAATCTGCATGAGTAAGATCCTCCATTGAGTTAGAAGCTCAAAGTATGCAATGGACCCCTTACAATTCTAAGTATAGGTAGTCCTCAACTTACAACAGTTCATTCAGTGACCATTCAAAGTTATAGCAGCACTGAAAAAAGTGACTTATGACCATTTCCCACACTTATGATCTTTGCAGCATCCTCATGGCCACACGGTTAAAATTCTGATTCGCATGTATGACAATTGCAGTGTGACCTTCTGATAAGCAAAGTAAATGGGGAAGCCAAATTCACTTAAAACTGTGTACCAACCTAATAACTACAGTGATTCACTTAACAACGGTTGCAAGAAAGGTCATAAAATGGGGCAAAACTCACTTAACAAATGTACCATTTAGCAACAAAAATTTTGGGCTCAATTGTTGTAAGTTGAAGACTACTTGTACATATAAAGTAACACATACACTGCAGGCAAATTGTGTTTTTTTAATGTTTTGGACTGCAATTCTGTGGTGTCTTGTTTTTGATCATGCTAAGGCTAACATTGGAAAGTTAAATAAGGTAATAGTAACTTGGTAAAACACATATTCAGATGTTATCATGAATTGTCTAACTTTCTTCAACATGGGTGCCTAATGGTGTGGATCTCAACTTTCATAATGCTGCACTAGCATGGTTGTCAATAAGGACACCTGTGTCCATCTGTGTATTTGAGGCACACTTAAGATGTGGGAAGATTGCATAAAGTGTATTTATGAAACTGTAAATTAATGCAGAAAGCAGACTTTGCTTTTATTCACTGCTTCAGTATATTTTTATTGTCTTCAACTCTGTAGCTGATTTCATTAGTAATGTAATTAACAACAGCCTTTTACCTCTTTTCAGCTGACTGGCTGCCTCTAGATATGATCAATCACCATCCAATTTAGATCCATTTGGTTTCTCTAGTAGCATTAAGTATTTCCAGCCACTTGAGTACTCCCAGATCTTGGGCGACTTCCCATCAGTCAAAAACCAACTACTTTTCTATAGATTTCCTTTGGTCTTCAAATAAGTTGGTACTCTAGGGAATATAGGCTGCAAAGCTATTTATTTATTTAATTAATTAATTTATCACATTTAAAAACTGAATCATACCAAACTATGAATGGAAGCAAAAGAAATGCTAGGTTTTTAAAAACGTATATTTTTAAAAAGTATACATTGAAATTCAAGAACATTTCAGAAGAACTCTGTTGTTAGTCTGTTTAAGATATGAACAAGAATGTTAGATTCTTGAGATGTATTTCACAAAAACAAACCCACCCTATTCTCCCAATTCGGCATGGTTTCAGTTTGATATTAGTGCCAGTAGAAATTAGATGTACTATTTGGTCTTGGGCGTCCAAGCTGTTCTTTCCTATTTTTACTGAGTGTTCTCTCAAAATTCTGCAGAGCAAATTCATTCTAATTTTCTTCAGAAAATTAAATCATAAATTTTCTTATAGGAGACATCTGCTACTACTATAATTTTCCTTGCTTTTAAAAAGGAATGAGGAATAATTCAGCTTCTGAGACCATTAAGTCTAAACCCTGGTGGCCTCTTGCATACAAAAATATTTCTGCCCCAAAGCTAAGTGGTCCTTCCAATGAAAATGGCTTCATAAGACACTTAAAATGACTTCTGTTGCATTGCAGCATCCCAATAAATCCCAAATGATCGCATTGCACTGTGCATAAAGAGATCATGTAAACCTTTTACAACAGCAAATGTATTTCTGACAAGCATGATGCAATAAGATTTTCATTACATTAAATGATTTTATAAGGAGCACTTATGTACCACAAATTTCATTTTACATACAATGCACTTACTCCTGAGTGGAGCTGCTCCTGAGAACAAGAGGTGGAATGGGACACTATATAATGCTAAATTGAAGAGCAGCATAATCCTTTGATTGAAAATGGAGAGTTAGTTCTTTGAATTAAACTCTTTAACTAACAAAAGAAAAAGTTCAGGATACTTCTCTCCTGTGTTTAGATTAACATTTATTGCCATTTTGTCTAAAAATGTCCATAGTATGTTTATCCTACTGTGTCAAGAGGAATTATCATTTCTCTGGAAAAAATAAGAATATCTCCTAAAAGTATTGCAGGAATCTGGCAATGTGTTTTATATCACTATATTGTAGCATCACTTTTGGAGAAGCAAGCTTTTTAATCCCCCAGTGAATCTTTCCATTTAATCTGAGTCCTATGCCTATCTCAGTAGCAGTCATGCACCAATTAATATCAATGACATTGGTCAGGAGAAAGGAAACAGTCTCTTAGAGTTTCCTTTGTTTAGAGATGCCTGCAAAATTTTTGTACTTTTAAAAAGAGCACTTAACAGTTTTGGGGGCCATAGAAATAAAACATGGGAGATGTTTTAAAGACATTTTTAAAAGAAAAAAAGTGGTATTTCCAGGAGATAAAGCACACAACTTGATGAATTGTCGCTACGGGTGATGTGCCATCTTCTTGCATGCGAAGGGGGAAGAGAACTTTAACAAGATTTTAAAATCCCAATTTTTAAAAGGATAATATATTGGTAATATTTGCATACAGGTAGCCATAGCTAATGTTTTATCGCCTGACTTCTTCATTACTTTCAGGATATGAAGGTGTCTCAGAGTTTTTCACTGACCTCCTCAACCACATAGCCACCACTCTGCAGGAGCAAACTCCAGAGTTGTCCCAGCTGAACCGTAACAAATTCCTGGCAGAGCAGAGCAGCAGCCTCGTGGGGGAGCGGACATGCTGTGCTAACACTGGCTGCCGGAGCATGGCAAGCCAAGACCCCTGGATTGTGGAGAACGAGACCAACAGCTCAGTCAAGCTGCAGCACCAGAGGCTGGGCTGTAACTCATCCATGTCACCAAGCTTTCAGCAGCATTGCGTGGCCACGTTGGCCACAAAAGCTTCTTCTCAGTGATCCCTATCTCTGCCACAGACTGAAAAAGAAAGCAGTCAGCCCCTGGGCTGTGAATTCAGTGTAATTTTTTGAAAGAAAGTGAAATTAGTGATATGGGTCCACTTTAACAGATTCCTCTTATAGTTCTATAGTGAGTTTATCCATCCATGTATGGGTGCCTGTTGTGTGCATGTATCTTAAACACTATATCTTAATGTGGGAGGATGGATTTGTGTTTTTTTCCCCATGCCTTTTTCTTTTCTTTGTAATCATCGACCAGAGTTGGGTGATGAATCGTCCTGGATTGATAAGAATTTGTGTTGAAAATTTGCACACTTGGATTTAACCCTCTTCCATATTTTTTCCAGCCCATTCCAAAGAGTAAAACATGCATTGATCGGACACCTAAATCCAGAGGAAACTTGCATACCCAGGATCAGCATTTTGCTTCTTTGTGGAAAATTTTGAAGTTAGAAAGTTCTTCAGATAGTTTCCCATTTCCCTAAAGAAGAAGAATGCCTGGGTATTTGCTTGCTATTGTGAAAAACTATAGGTTGATGCCCTTAATCTCATTTGGGGGCAGAGGACTTCCTAATTGTTGGAGGATTACCACATCTAGCATAAGAACAAGCTAGGGAGTTTGGCTTTTTCTGCTGCTTTACTGATCCTGAGACTAAAGGACATCTCTTTCACATATTTATTAACTGATAGGGTGGGTTATTTTTAGCTTTGTGTGATGCACAGATCCATTCACTGTGATTTATAAATCAGGTTTCTTGGTTAGGGTGGGCTTGTGCATCATATTAAACAAGAAATTCAAATTGTGGATTAGCATAACATGTGATTTAGGGGCCTGTTTGTAAGCACTACTATGCACAAGACTTTTTCCTTAGTGGTGGGTAGAAATTTGTTGAAGTAAATCAGCAGCAATTTGTCTCCCTTTCTGGTCTATCATTTGTGGGATTGAACATTTGAGATACAGTATAAGGGTAATATTTATCTAACCTGTAATTCAGTCTGGTTATATTTTAAGAACAAGTAACAAAACAACAGTGATTTTAACTCTGTTTCTTTCAACACAACATCATCTTTGTGCAGCTTTGAACTGGTCATGAATTTGAAAAGGTACTGAATGAGTTTTGGGACTCTTAATTTGAGAGAATTTTTAAATTGTCTCAAGAAACATTGTTAAAGTATTTTACACATTTAGATATATTTGGAAAAATTGATCATCATGAATTAGAGATCTATGGACTAATTCACACTCAGGTAGTAGTGTGAATGTATATGACATACATGCTACAAGTTGTACACATGAATCCCAATTTTTAAAAGGATAATATATTGCTAATATTTGTGTTTTTGTTGGATTAAAGAAAGTTTTGAATTCTCTCAGTTCCTATAAAGATGACCCATTTCTTAATATGTATGAACTGATATTAATATATTTTCCTCCGCTGATGGCAGCTTTTTATTTGTTTCTTTGTTTTTAGAGTAAGGGAAAAAATGGAAATATCTGATGAAATATGAAAGGGAGTTTAAAAAGGGAGGACCAGAAATGATTCCAAATTATGGTGTAAGTGCAGGAAACTGTTCAAGAATTAATAGGAAGGAGAATTGCTATGTTCCTTTGTGGTATTGTTTCTAAAGTTATTCATAATTCTGCAATAGGTATAGCTGAAGAGAAGACAATATTTGTAGAACGGTTTCTTATATGAGACCATACAGTCATTTTGTTTATTTCTAATTCAAATTTGAGTCATATGATTATCCTGAATTATTGTCTATCTCAATAACAGTTGCTGCAATTTCCCAATAAATTATTGATATTTGTCCATGCATATTTTAAATGCCTTTGATGGGAGTGAAAAATAGGTCAGACATATTTTCATAAAACTTATTTTCAAAATAGCAACACTATTAAAAGTTATTGATATTTTTAAAAAATGATTGGATTTTAACATTACACACACTCACACAATTCAAGCTAAAATTGAAAGGCACCTTTGAACATACCTGAGTCTGTCCCTCCCCTGTAACTTTAATTAAGGCAAGAGTATTTCATTGCTGGACTGAACATTACCACACTCCTTGACTGCTGCGTGCATGGATCAAGAAACTTAACAATTTGCAACAGGATTCAAACCATTTTATTCTTTTATACAGCTTGTGGGAGAGCCAAGGGAAGAGGCATAATAGGTTAGTTTTTCTGGCATGTCTTCAGGGAACATTATTATCTAATTCAGAGGGTTATTATGATTATTTTTAATTTTAAGGAAAAAAATACCACATCATCATTTATACAATAAATTTCAGTTCTTAGGTGAGCAAGCTGGAGAAAAGAATGTTCCATCTGGTTTAGTTAGAAGACATTTCAAAATTGTTGATCAGCCTGGACTATTTGATCCAGTTTAAATATATTTCTGCTATTTCCTATTTTTAGTAATGAGGAAGAATTTCTTTTAATGGCTGCCTTCTAAATTTTGGTTAGCCTATTTTGCACTGTTTTATTTCTCCAAAATAAACTACTGATACATAATTGTACATTTTATATTTATTTACAAATGATATATTTCGTAAATTCTCCAAAGTCTTAATACAAAGTATATCTGATAAAAGTGCAGTTCATATCTTGACTTTAACTAGAATCTAATTTAATTCTGTAGCCAAATAGGTTGTCAGCTTCGTTCACCCCTTGATGTAACAGCTGCTTATTTAAACAAAGACAAAGTTGTTCACATCTTGCATTTAGTTTAATAAGATAGCATTGCAAGTGGGCTGGCCAGCCGACAGTTTGTAATCCTTTCTGTGGTTTTGTTTTCTATCAGACTATTTTGGGTGGAATAAAATATGAATAATATTGTCAGGTTCCAGAGAGAGCACAGTGTGCTATTGCATTGCAGAGCGCTGAGCATATGGTACTAAAAACTGAGTGCAAAATCAATTATTTCATCTCTGTTTTGTTGCAGCAAATTTCTTGAACTCTTTTTCAATCTAGATACACTGCCATGTGTTCCTCCAAAAGGCAATTTTATGTGAGAACTGAAATGCGCTGAACAGCCTCGCGTTTCTCATAGAGATTGAAGAGAAATATGTCTGTCCTTTTTCTTCTGGAAAGCCCTGGGAGAGGAGGGTTGTAGTTTGGTTGTATGATTCCAATTTTTGTTTCAACTCAAAAGACCAACCTCTACTTTTGAGGGTCTGTTGAGTAATAGCAAAAATGTTGCCAATGCATGTAGGCCAATGCATGTTGTTGAAGGATAATTAAAGTAGACAGACTTAAATGTACACAAATAGCATCCATGTTTAGTTTGTTTAAGGAAGCATAACTATCCATAACTGCATCTCCACTCGTGGCAGGAAAATAAGAAGCAACTTTTAAAGCATTTTTTCCACTTTCCAGTATATACATTACAAATAATCTTTTGTGACTCTCATTAGAATGTTTCTTTGTGTAAAGTATATTTTCAGTAATATACTTTAAACTTCTACCAGAAACCAGTCCATCTTCCTTATTATAGAAATAAGTGTTTGGATGTAAAAATCTTAATGTGATTAAAAAGAGCTAAAATGTAAAACCTCAGTAGATCTGAGTTAATCACATTCTATTCAAAATCTGAGGAAGATTATATGTTAGAGGTATGTGAGTGAATAATATCTGCTCCATTGCTAGATTATCCAAGCTATAAAATGAGAAATAGTTGGTACTGAAAATGGTTAAACTTACAAATTTTTATTCTGCAACAATTATACTTTTTATATTAAAAATCTAAAGATCATATTAAAAAAGAGTCTAAACCTCTTTTCAGGTTAATTTCAAAATATGGTAATTGACATTTTATATATGCTGTTGTTCCTTTGCTTTATATAATCAGTTATAAATCATAATTCATTTAATAAATACTGGAAATCTACTTTTTTAATGAACTTAAGCTAAGAAATGATTAACTAGAATTATTAATTACATGAACAAAACATGTGCTTTGTCTGAGTAACATAATTATTTTTTAGACATGTAGTATAAAATTCTCCACTCTTAGATAACTCTATCTTGGGCTTTTTCTTTCATTTGCACCTGGATAAGCAGTTCAAGATTTTTCTAAATCAGCCAGCCTCTTATCATCAGCAAGGGATCTACTAGTTGGCAGCTTCCCTTCCATGCCTGATAACTCAAAAGTGCAGATTACTGTAGGTTGTTCTGAGCATTTTATAAGATCTTTTCGCATAATGTTTTATACCATGCTCAGTTCTACTGCTAGCCTGTTCTCCTTTTACACCATTGTGTGAGCTGGCAAGAGCAGACAGGTACGTGATGTGTCAGACACCTGTGGATTGAGTTTGGTCTCCCAAACATATTAAAGAATAAAAATAATGCTGTTTTCAGAAGCGCCAGGTTAGTGTTTTGACATCAATTAAATCCCTTTTTTTTTCTAGAAAAGTGTCTTGAGCCATTACACTGGGAATATAATGCAGTAACTATTGGTGTCCCAGTGGTATTCAAAGGAAATAGACATTCCTTACTTTTTATTCTCAAAATATGCTATGGTAGCCTGTCTTAAGAAAATTATTCATGGCACTGAGCTATACATAATGAAGAAAGAATGTTGGACATACCTACAATACCAGGATACTGATTTTTTTGTTTTTGCTGACTTCATATAACTGTTTACTCCCTTCTATTCTTAGTTTCTCCCTCCTGTTTCCACCCGTATAAATATGAATGAGTTACTTAATTTGTTGTCTACAGACTGTTTTCCTTTTGAACCCATCATATGTAAAGTTGGTGGTGTTCAAGAAGAAATACACTTCCTTTACAAAAGCACTTCTTCTTTTGAGACAGTGTAATCTTCCATTTTTATAAGTACTGGTTTTTTTTTAAGTATATCAAAATTTAATTTTTCCTGGTGTAATTTGCGAGTAATATTTAAGTCTGTCAGAATATGTAATTGACCATTGATTCAGTTCAATCTTACTACTATAATATAAAAAAATCAAATTTCTTGATAAATGTGGTCCTTATGAGGGCAAGAATTACCTATGATTGTGTTGAAGAAACCGAGTGCTAACTTTTTCAGAGGCTCTTTACATTTCTTTACTAAATATTGTCTTCTTTAATTTTTGAATTATGTTTCAAAATGACAAATCAGTATAAACCAATTCAGTTTTCAATAACAAAGAGAGCACTCCTTCCTCAGTATCTCAATAAAGTTAGCTAACACATCTTATTTAAGAATAGCTTTATAAAAATATTACTCTGTTTGCAGTTGGGACTAAGAATAGACAAGAAGAGGAGGAAGTTGTTTCTGGATTGTGGAATACTAAATTCAGTTTCCATTAAATTCAAATTTTCATAATTATATTGCAGTATAATTATAGTGAAAAATTCAATTAGTACAAACTTACTGCAGTCTGAATTAGTATGGTCAAGGAACATATTTATTTGCTAGATTCAAAGGACCAACCGGTATTTTGTAATACAAGTTTCCTTTAGTCAAAACCAATGTTTTAAATAACATCTATTTTCCTTGTGAGCTATTGTTTTGTTTATTCTTATTTTACCAATACATAATCCAACAATTTGTTTTTAATGAAAAATTGAGACATAAATTCTCAATGCGCTGTTAGATTTTACTTTAGAAGACACTACCAAAATACATGTCGTAATGTTAAGGATATTGGATGTAGAAGGAGACTTGTTTGTGAGTAGTTTATGGCCCATTGGCACTTGTATCTTTCACCATTTGCACAGCAACACCTTAGTGTATTGTTTAGTATGTGAAAGGACTCCTATTTATAAAATGCAAATATGTAAGTATAAAAATAGTGACATATATATTTCAGATTGTGTACACTCTTAATTAATAGAGATAATCTTTATCACTTTTATGAAAAAAGTGCAGTAAAAGTATGGGATGTATTTTTTTCCAGTTCTTTAGATTTCTTCCTTGGTGTTTTCATATAGTTCATATGTCTCCTCCTGTGTTCAATTCCAGTCAATGTCCCACTGAATTGGACTCATCTCTATGTTGATATGGATTGTACATCTCTTTCTTTTTATCCCTTCTCTTCTTCCCTTCTCCGTTTTATTTTTTTTGGATGGGACAAAATTTGTGGAATGTTTTACAAAAACTTAAGGTGTGATTAAGCATTTTATCAGTTCAAAGTTGAAGTTATCTTGGACCATTTCTTTATTATGTCCCATTTGAATTAAGGATATCAGTGCTGTCTTCTGCTATTTTAGATAGTTATAGCAAGTGTGAGTGTTGTGAGTGTTTGGCCCTGTTCACAAAATTACTTTCATAAAATTAATTTTTTTTTGTATTTAGAGAGTCTGTGTGTACACACTGATACACACATGCATATTTATACATGCATATATATATATATGATTTCATTTTTTTAAAAATAGCCCTATATAAAACCAAAAATATTAGTACCTTGGCTGTTTACTTGTAGTGCATGACTGACGTCCTTCTCAATAATCACATGGTGCTTCTCTTGCTTAAATCATTGATTTCCATAATTTTTTTCTTCATTTCATCCTTATTTGCCAAACACTTGTGACAAATATTTTAGTATTTTAACTATAGAGTTAAAATGCACTTAAATCTCCTCTGTTATTTCAATGTCTGCTTCAGGGAGAAAACTCCATTTTCCAAAAACATGATTAAAATAAATGCCTTATACAAAACCTCATTCTGTGTTCTGGTTAATGACTGAAATATTATATATCTGGATTTGTTGATGCACCTTTGAATACCTAAATTATGTATAGTGTGAGAGATTGTAACATGGTGTGAATTTATTCAACTTCGTCACCAAGCATTTATTTTCATTTCAGAGAGATTTGGCATACCCAGGTCCTGTTGATAAAATGTCAAGCAATGGGACCTTGGAACTCTGTTTTCTCTGGCAAGATGCCACCCTCAAAAAGCTCTCAAAACTTGGTTTTTCTCCCAGGATTTCAATTAGCTTTATGGGTGGGGCCTTCAAGTGTATTCATGTCGTCGTGGAGGTATACCAAGGCATTTTTGATCATTTTCATTTATTTTTAACATGGTTCATTGTCCAGAGCTGATTTGAATTGGGCCTCCCTACAAATCTAATAAATTACATTGTCACGCAAAAAAGTTGGAGGCTGCATTCCTGGTACCCCTGATAAAAATAAACTAGCAGATGAGGAAGACAACTTTTCTGATGTAAGATTTCAGGAGTGCATAAAGTGGGGACTGTAGGGTTAAAAAGCCTGTTCCATCAGATCAGCTGGAAAAGATTAACACTGGGAGCTAATCCTTCAAGTAGTTAAGGGTTTAAAAGTAATAACCAGCTCCTTGAATTATACTTGAAAGCCTTTTGTTAACCCCAGTACATCTCCTAAATCAAAGATGTTAGCTGGATATACTGAAGCATATCGGTGACTGCCCAAATTGCTGCAATCTGAATCAGCTGCAACTTCTGAGGTATTCAAGATCTGAGGTATAAAAGCATGTTACAATAGTCCATATGTGAAGTGACCAAAGCATCTCTGGCCAAACAGAGTACAATCAGGGTAAAGGTAGATCTACGTAAATGCCTTTTCGATCAGAGCTATTGCCTGCTTTTCAAGCAGAAGTTGCACATTTAAAAGCCCCTCAAATTGCTCACTAGGCCCTAAGTGAGGTAATACATCCCTCCCTGGGTGTTGGTTATGTTTTTTAATTGTATTTGGAAGTTATGAACTGCTCCAGAAACTATCTGAAGGGGCAACTCCCATTCACCAATTCTAGGAGGCCCAAATATCCATAGCCATTTACTGTTATTACCTCATCCAGACCCTCATGGCCTCCAGGCACTGGGACAGCTGATTGACAGTACTATCAAAATGACCTATCCAGCTGATGAATACTGTTGCTTTATACTCCTTCACTTGGCTGGCAGAGTTGATTTGTGGATGGCAAAAATAGTTCATTAAAAAGAGTTACATTTTAGGAATGAACATGGGTTTTGATCTCTGTCTTTCTGTTTCTTCTTCTCAATTCAGTAGACTGCTAATAAAGCTTCACTTTCTATTTGAAGAGGCTATTTGAAAAGTTATTGATGCTTATTGAAGTTATTAAGCCAATGGCTGCAAATTGTCCATCCTTGTACAACTTTCCTTGTCACCCTGCATACAGGCCAGGTTTATTCACTACTTTTTAAAAACTTATGTTAAAAATATTAAATTTATTCAACAAACCAGGGGAATTGTGTGTGAAGCTATATCTATACACAGAATCCAGAATCGGCACTTTAATCATTGCACTGTCTTGAGCCTTTGCAAAAATGTTACCTAAAAGTACATTAGATTGCAGCTGAATTAGGCAAAGAAGGGAGACCAAGATTGTGTCTTTATTTTTCTCGTTAGTTTTTATATAGAATATATTGCAGTCAAGAGTGCTATCTTTAAATCAGAAGGTTAACAAGTTATTGCAAGTAATTTTATCCAGGAAATCTAATGGGAGAAATAATTCTAGAAAGCTGATAAGGGAAAAGAGGAGGGGGAAAGAAATAACAGGAGAGGAAATTATAAATCAATCTTTTTTTTTTTTTTTTGCAATAGAGAATACGTGAGTTAAGTGATACTGCTTGTTATGCAGTAATCCAAACATTACAAAATAAAATAATTACTTAAGCAAGCAGAAAGTAAATAAGCAAATTATGACAAAAAGCAAGAAAGCATCACAACTAGAAAAAAAAGAAATTGCTGGGGTTTTTTTGTTGCAATACAGGCTTTTGCAAAAAAAATCACCTCCTCCATTATTACTTTATTGTTTTAAAATAAAATGCAGTGTTTAAAACAGTGATCCAACATTTCTGGTGTCTTGCTCCCATGTTATGGTGCATTAACCTCTTCTCAGGGCATGGAGCTTGCGAGCAACTTTCTCCAGTTCCGCTTCAATTGCAGCCAAGCTTTCCAGTTCTTGCTCCTAAAAGAAAAAAAAATTAATGATGCAAATCATTAAAGCAGAATGATGTATTCGCTTTAATTGTTGGGAAGAGCCGAGGTGGTGCAGTGGGTAGAGTGCAGTACTGCAGGCCACTTTAGCTGACTGTTATCTGCAGTTCAGCGGTTCAAATCTCACCGGCTCAAGGTTGACTCAGCCTTCCATCCTTCCGAGGTGGGTGAAAT